AATGTTATTTTTCTTTAACTAAATGATAAATACAATTATTCTTCATAATTATATTTATATTATAAATTTTGTTTTGAACTATTAATCATGTAGTGAAAGTTACCCTTTAAAAAAGCAATGGAGATTATCTAGTTGAGGAAGAATGGTTGAATATTCCAAACATGATTTAAAATCTTTGCCCTTTACATAACTCAGATAACACATAGTAGGGTCCAGTTCCAAGCCCAAGACTATGGCCTGCCAGGTCATCACTTTGTCACCAGGATCATTAGGAGGTATGCAGATCAATGAGTCTTCACATATCCACACAAACAGCTGACACAGGCAACAAAAGTGTCATTTACTGATACTAAAGATGCAGGATATTTTAAGCACAGTACAGGAGTAGGTAAGAAGAAATAGAATATTTCCAACAAGTCACTGAAAAGATGTTCCATATTATTTATAATAAAAATACAATTTAAAAATAATGAAATTTTTCTCATTAAAAATGTAATTGGAACATACTGTTTTTTTTTCTATTCCTACCAAATTTAAAAATGCACAAATGCATAAATGGTCTAGTAATTCCACCATTTGAAACCTATTCTCTTGAAATGCCAGTGTATATGTGCAATAACATTTATTGTAGCAATGTCTGTAAAAATAATTGCATTCAAACAAAATATCCACATTAATAGGAGATTAGTTAACAATTATGATGTAGCTATACCATAAAATATGATGTAATCTTTAAAAAGAATTAAGCTACCATATATATAAATACTTGGAAATAGGTTTACCATATATTTTTTAAGTTTAAAAAGCAAGTTGTAAAGCAATTAGTTTGATTGCCTTAAAAAATGACTTGTACGTGTGTGTGTGTGTCAGAGTAATGTAAATATGTATATACAAGGTATTCAAAGTATGTATGTATTACAAGTAAAGAAAAAGTTCAAAAGAATATACACCAACCTTATTAACATTGGCTATCTCTTGAGAATGGGATTATTTCTGTATTCTTTAAATTTTTTAAGCATGTATCACATTTGTATTGCTATGTTTTCCATCCCTTGTAGAATTTACTAAACAGAGGTTTTCTGCTTTTTCTTAATCCTCTTTATCCTCCTCCTCCACCTTCCCTCTTTTCTCTCCTACTTCTTCTTTTCCTTCTTCTCCTTCTCCTTCTTCTTCTTCCTCCTCTTCTTACCCTCCTCCTCGTTTCTCCTCCTCCTGTCCTCTTTTCTCTCCTCCTAACGTCTCCTTCTCCTTCTCTCCCTTCCTGTTTTCTCTTCCCCCTCCTCTCCTCCCCCCTCCTTTTCCTCTTCCTCCTCTGCTTTCTCCTTTTTCTTTTAATTATTCAAATGAAGGAGCTGAGTCTTCAGGGGCAGGATCATACCTCGTTTACTGACTATACAACTGGTATTAAAAAAACAAAGTTCTGGGAAATGCAAAAATAACATTGCTATCAGCTTAAGGTACACCCTCCCACTCCTTCGGTATAATGGACTCAAAACAATAATGGATCCTTTAATCCTTTCCGTGTCTATGGTCCTCTATCTCTTAACCAACTTTTCTCTCTTCCATGGCCCTCATTTCTCTGTTAGCTCTAAGGGCCACAAATTTGTTCTGTGCTACAGATTATCACAGATGATTAAGTTTGTTGTGAATCTAGAAGTCAGTAGGTAAGTGGAGGTTGGTGACAGAACACATGCTTTGTTCAGGATGCTCTTCTGCCTGAGTGTAGTCATGCACACAGGAATGGACAAGGGCTCTTCGGTGCATTTGCCAAGTTTAGTTCTCAGAACAGAACTATGAAGTTCAGACTAACAGAGCTTTGGAGAATATGGAACAGATACAAGTTTTTTGTTTGTTTGTTTTGTTTTGTTATTTTTTTTTTTTCATTATCATTTCACAAACAGTAGAATATAGTGGGCTCCAAGTCAACCAGCCAGGGTCATGACTATACCATACCCAATGTAAAACCCTGGGCAAGCTATTTAATCTTATAAATTTATTTTCAGATGTTATATTCCAAGAAAGTGTTTCTCAAACTTCAGCGAACAACATGTTAGTAAGTCTTAAAATCAATTTAGTGAGTAGTGATTAGCATTGGGGAACAATAGAATAAAGCAATAAAAATCTGTGAGAAACAGAGTATATTGCATAAAAAAGAGAGTACAAAGCTAATATAAATATATATTACTTACTGTGGCCTAAGCTCAAATGAGTTTGAGAAACAATACATTTAATTAAGCAAATGTGACAGATTGAAAAGCCTCCCTTCACTGTCCTCTCAGTTCTATTCAGTTGACCCTTTCAGGTAAAGCAAGCAGAAGCTAAAGGGTTTTGGAAACATACTGTAATGATGGATCTTTTGAAAATGCATGAGAATGCTAGGCCGATGTGAGAAGCCAGGGCAATGATGAGAGACATACTTCCTTCAAAAAATGTCCTGGGGCTACTTCCATATATTTGAGGCAATGGATAAAGATTTGTTAGAATTAGCGAGGCCTAAGGATTTGGTTTTTGGTTTTATTTGGAATTTTTGCTATTAATTCAAGTACAGTCATCACTCCATATCTGTGAGTTCTGCACCCACTGACTCAACCAACTTTGGATCAAAATGTTTGGGAGAAAAAAATAATTTTAGAATAGCACAACAAAATGTATATGAATGTAAAAGATACATTATAACCATGATTTACATGGCATTTACCTGTAAATAATGTGTTAGATATTATAAGTAATCTAGACATTATTTAAAGCATATGGGAGGATATACATAGGTTATATGCAAATACTACCCCATTTTATATCAGGGACTTGAACATGAACAAATTTTGGTTTCCATTTGAGTCTTGGAACCAATTCCCTATGGATACCAAGGGACAACTCTACCAAGAACTGTGACCAAAGACCTTTGAGGTTCCTTTAATTTTCCAATCCTGTCATTTGAAATTCCTAGTCTTAGTAGGTAATATTTGGAACAAAATCTTCCACTTCTTAGGTAAGTAAAGAAAAGTGAAAACATTTTGAATTTTCATTTTTCTAAAGCATTCACATAGTACTTCAATGTTTATGGATTTTCAAATGTCCATCTTTAGTACCTCTGCAAATATTTTGCTCTGAAAAAGTTATAGTAAGCAAACACTATGAAAATCAAACACAATCGTTGTTATATTTGAGAAAAACAGGTTTAGAACTAGAATTAGGAAGTTTAGACCTATATTTTTAGAGAATTCATGCCAAAAAACTGAGTCATTATTAACCTGTAGAATCAACATTTTTCTTTATAAAATGCAATATTAGAAAGAACCTATAAATAACCGTTATTATATAACAGTATATATTACTGTTAGTTTAATTTGGTTAATACCAGATTGGTTATTTGGTATTTTCCTGCTATAATCATATGAGACATTCATTATAAGTACTTTCAATTTCAACAGAACTAATGTTAATAAGAGAGGAAAATCAGAAAATATGACCTATACAACACTGCAATTCTTCTCTGTATCATGATTTCAGTTGAAATATCAGTAGTGCTAATTATAGAAATTGTGGATATATCACAGAAAACACTGTTGAAATCAAAACCATACACTCTGAGTTGTATGTCTATTACCTAATACACAACAAATCACAGTTTTTATCACATTTGGCTAATGTGCATCTCCTAAGTATCTGTAAGGAAAGATAGAAATATAAACATGTAAAATGTGTATCTGTATATAGACACAGATACACAAATATAGCTGTAGGTATAGATCTATATCTGTCAAACATTTTCAATAAATATAAAGATTTGGTTTGCTATGAAACAGTAAATATCCATTATTTCCTTCTAGAAACAGTACCTGCAGATATGGTAGTTACAACTAGGGACCTAGGGGTAGGGGCCTGGGGAAGTTTAGGAACATAGTTGGTTGCATGATCTAACCCTGAAGATGGATAATAGAGAGGTTTTGAATTAGTACATAATCACATCCATAGGTTCTTTCCTTAAGACTCAGAAATGGTCCCTCTTGACCATTTGCTCACTTTGAGATGCTGAACAAATTATTTAAATTACTAAATATCAATTTTCTTGTCCCTAAATTAAATAATAACTTTGGAAAATACGTTTTCCATCTCATCATTTTAGGTTGATTAGCTGACGTGTTAAGGACCAAGGAAAGAAAAACTAAATTGAAGAGTGAATATATTGTACCTAGATTGGGACAGCCAATTATAGTAGGTTGTTAGAGTAATGTCCCTGATTAATCTGACCTTGAATATTCACATCCTTATGTATTCCACTCCCACAATGACTCTGAGGTTGATCATTGTGATTTGCTTGGTTCAGTGAAATATTTACAAATGTGACAGGAGCAGATAAAGATAGCTGCACAATGGGGTTTAGCCATTAGGAATTATTTTGCTGCCATGTAAGAGTTTTTGGCTATACTACTAAAGATGTCATATGGAAAAGAACCACACCATCCCAGCAAATGGTGTCTGCTAATACCACCTTGGACCAAACAGCCTCAGCAGAGCCTGTTGGTACCAGATGACAATAGGCACATGAGTGATCCCCAAAAAGACCATCAGAAGAGCCATCCAGCTAAGCCAAGTCCAATGTGCAGAATTGTGAGCAAATAAATGGTTATTGTTTGAAGTTATTGTTTTGTTACTTAGTATAGATATTTGTGGTTTGTTATGTAGCAATGGACACTTGATATATCCATTTATCTGACAGAATAAGTCTTCCATGCTTTTGATATTGAAATCAACAAATTAAGAGTGATCGATCACATAAATTTTTAAAATGTACTATATTCAGGTAAGTGAGTAAAATAGTAAATATGCAGAACATAATCAGAAAGCAAATTTTCAAATGCAATAGCAAACACAAAAATGTCTCTGCCATGCTGGATTACCACTTTGTACTGTACAGGCAAAAACAAAATAGATAGATAGATAGATAGATAGATAGATAGATAGATAGATAGATAGATTATTTTAGTCGGGGAACTTACTGAAACATGATTTTCTATGAAGCATGTGCTGGAAAATCTTGCACAAAGATTCCTCACTTTGTGTAATGGTCCTACAGTTACATTGCACTTGAAGGACTGTCCCAAGGATATCTATGTAAGCAGCTTTGCAGTCATCACTTCCTGAACATGTGAGGTCCTGTTTGCTTAAGGCGCTAATGCAGTTCTCATCTTCATGGCACTTTCTAGTCACACGCTGCCAGCATTTTGACTGAAATGTTCTATAGTGCCTCCTAGACAAAGAATGAGGAAAAATAATTAGTTTTGAATAATATTATTTCACATTAACATGTGATCCCCCATCACCTAATGAAAGACATGGAACACAATGCCTCCAAGATGCTAGTACATAGTTGAAAAGTAAATTTGTAATTTGAAAAATCACCACAGGGAGTGTGAAAGAAACTGTAATCTTGTGAATTACATCCCTTTATTGTGATGAAAGACAAAGGCTAAGTTGAGGATTCCCTGGATGGATTTCCCTTTATTACTAATTATATTCCAATATATGATGATTTGAGGTATGAACTACTTCAGAGATTTCTTGGCAATGTTTTATTCTGAATATAGTTTTGTGGCTAGCCTTTGGCCACTGTGTCACACCAAGTGATTTCAAATAAGATACTTGACCTTTCAAGTCAGTTATCCCACAGGATGGGAGGTGCTTTATACTTTCTTAATGGATTAAGCAGACTAACTAGAATTTGCAATATGTTGTGAGGTATAAGATTTCTGACTATGTATTTGATTATTGGTATAATAAAATGGAATAAAAGTCTGGATAATGTACACTAATTTCATTTTTGAATATTTTTACAATCAGAATATATTTTCATTAATGGATGTAAGAATGAAAATCTTTCAATTTAATCTTTGTCACCTAAAATTCCTTTTTACTCTTTCTTGAATAGGTTGCCATCAAACATGTATCAAAGCCCTATGAGTACATGACATTTTCATGAAGTTATTTGTCCACACGGATGCTGCTATGTTAAAAAACCAAAGCTCAATTGTTTTTAATAATTGAATATTTAAGTCATCTTAAAGGATAAGCTTTTAAATATAATATTGAAGATTAATTCATGTACATTAAATTTATAATAAGGGAAATACTGCAGATTTTCTGAACATATAATTATTAGGCCAGAAGAACAAACATTCCTTCAATGCAGTTAAGGGTTACATATAACATATATCCTAAATGTAAGTTTTGGAAGTATTGATTGTCGCTTAGATAGAGAATATATCTGTACCTATATGCTATTTGTTAATTTTAAATATGTGTTTTACTAAGTTTAAATTGCATGATTTATCTACTTACAGATAAATAGATACATTTTCACTCAGAAAAAATGCCATGAAATTTTGCCAAAATGATGAACTAAATAATATTTAATTAAAAATAATATACTACTTTGGTACACTGTATTCTGAAACCATTTGAAATATAAATGGACTAAAGTCTCCAATTAAAAGACATAGTATGGCTGAATGGATTAAATGGATGAAAAATAAAATGAGCCAATGATCTCTTACCTCTAAGAAGCATACAGCATCTATAAAGAAACACAGAGTGAAAATAAAGGGATAAAAAAGATATTCTATGCCAATGGAATCAAAAAAAGAAGCAAGAGTAGCTATACTTTTGTTAGACAAAATAGAATTCAAGACAAAAACTATAAAAAGAGATAAAGAAGGTAATTATGTAATGATAACGATTCAATTCAGCAAGAGGATATAACAATTGTAAATATATATGCACCCAACACTGCAGTACCTAGACATGTAAAGCAAATACTATTAGAGCTAAAGAGAAAGACTTCAACATCTCACTTCCAGCATTGGACAGATCATTCAAACAGAAAATCAACAAAGAAACATCAGACTAAATCTGCACTACAGATAAAATAGACCTAATAGATATTTACAGGACATTTCATAAAATAGCTGAAGAATACACATTATTCTCCTCAGCACGTAGATCGTTCTCAATGATAATCCATATATTAGCTAACAAAGCAAGTCTTAAAATTTTCAAAAAATTGATATCATATCAAGTATTTTCTCTGATGACAATGGAATAAAACTAGAAATCAATAACAAGCAGAACTTTGAAAACTAAACAAATACAGGGAAATTAAACAATATGCTCCTGATTGACCAATGTGCAAATAAAGAATTAAGAACAAAATTTAGAAGTTTATTAAAACAATGAAAATGGAAGCACAACATATCAAAACCTATGGGATACGACAAAAGTAGTATTAAGAGGAAAGTTTATAGCAATAAGCACCTACATCAAAAAAGTAGAAAAACTTCAAATAAACAAATTAGCAATGCATCTTAAAGAACTAGAAAGTCAAGAGCAAACTGAACCCAAAATTAATAGTAGAAAATAAATATGAATAAATATCAGAGCAGAAATAAACGCAAGTGAAACAAAAAAAAAATCAAAAGATTAACAAAATGAAACGTTGGTCTTTTGGAAAGATAAAATCTCAAACCATCAGCCAGACTAATAAAAAGAGACAGAAAACCCAAATAAAAGAAATCAGTGATTAAAAGGGAAACATTACAACTGATGCCACAGAAATTCAAAGGATCATTAGAGACTACTATGAGCAAATATATGCCAATACATCAGAAAATCTAAAATGGATACATGAATAAATCTGTAGACACATACAACGTAGCAAGCTTGAACCACGAAGAAATCCAAATCCTGAACAGACCAATAACAAGTAATGAGATCGAAGCTATAATAGAAAGTCTCCCAGCAAGGGAAAACCTAGGACCTGATGCTGAATTTCACCAAACACTTAGAGAAGAACTAATACCAATTCCACTCAAAATATTTCCAACAATAGAGGAGGGAATACTTCCAAACTCATTCTATCAGGCCAGTATCACCCTAATACCAAAACCAGACGAGACATATCAAGGAAAGTAAACTATAGGTCAATTTTCCTGAAGAATATTAATGCAAAAATCCTCAACAAAATCCTAGCAAACCAAATTCAACAACACATTAAGATTTTTCATCATGACCACGTGAGATTTTTCCTAGTGATGCAAGGATGGTTCAATACATGCAAATCAATCAATTTGATACATCATATCAACAAAATGGAGGACATAAAGGATATGATCCTTTCAACTGATGCTGAAAAAGCATTTGATAAAGTTCTACATTCCTTCATGATAAAAGCCTCAAAACCTGGGTATAGAAGGAATATACCTCCACAGAATAAATGCCATATATGACACACCAGACCAATAGTTAGTATCACATGGAATGGGGAAGAACTGCAAGCTTTTCCTCCAAGATCTGTAATGAGACAAGGATGCCTACTTTCATCACTGCTATTCAACATAGTACTGGAAGTACTAGCTGAGCAATTAGACAAGAGAAGGGGAAAAAAAGGCAGGGGGCAGGGGAGTATCCAAATTAGAAAGGTAGAAAAAGTATCCTTGTTTGCAGATTGTATAATTTTATATTTGAAAAGACCCAAAGACTCCACCAAATAACTCTTCGAACTGATCAACAAATTCAGTAAATTTGTAAGACATAAAATTAACATACAAAAATCAGTAGCATTTCTATATGCCAACAGCAAACAATTTGAAAAACAAATCTTCAAAGTAGTCCCATTTACGATAACTACAAATAAAATAAGACACTCGGAATATGTCTAAATGTCCAAAAAAGACTAAGCAAATTAATTAAGCTACATCCATGCAATGGCACACTCTATAGCTATTCAAACATTTAAGAATTTTCTTTTTTTAAATTTCTTCTAAGAAAAATGAGACAGATGTGCAGAATGGGCAGGTTTATTACATAGGTATGCATGAGCCATGGTTGTTTGCTGCACCTATTGACTCGACCTCTAAGTTCCTTCCCCTCCCCGCCTACTCCCCAGCAGACCCTGATGTGTGAATTTTTTTATATGCAATTATGGAAAGAACTTTAATCCACATTTAGGGAAAACTAACAAAAATAATATACAGAGAAGGATACCATATAGTGCCACCTGTTTTAAATCAATTAAATAAAAATACATGCATATTTTAAAGTATTTAGAATATTTTCTAAGCAAATACCTTGTCATTACTTTTTTAAGTTAATATATAAAAATACAATGTATTATAATTTTCCATAAATACCCAGACTTTTGTGAAATTGGCAAGATATAATCTCACCTCCCAGAGGGTATCTGTACTAGAGAAAATTAATTGAGAAATGGCCCTTAAATTGTCCTCTTTGGCTTTTAAAAAATAAAGGAATTTCAAAACCCATCATGAATTGAAAAATCTGGAACAGGGACAGAAACTGTATTTTAAAACTGAAGTGCCCTGTTTTGCCTATGTACAGGCTCTTCTGCAAAAAAGGTAAGTATCATAAAGGGCTTAATATTCTCATTGAAGAAGTGGTTTTCCACTTGGAGATTTGTTCTTCATCTGAATTACATTAACAATAATTTAATATAAATGCTGGACATCTCCCTAAGGCAAAATTTCCTCAGGAAAATGATAGGATTTGTCTTTTCACATTGACTACTAATATTATATAACATTTCCATCACCTCTATAAAGTACTCATTAAGGGACTATTTGCACATAGTGAAAGGAAATTGAAGACACACAGTCCTTACACTTGAACTAATCTAAGAAAGAAATTACATGAGAAGAAATATGTATATGTATATTACAATATAAAAATTACGTGTACAATATTCCAAAGTGAGAGGAAGGGAGATGACGTTTTTTGAGTGCTTATCCCACTCCAGACCCTACACCAAACATTTTGAGAAGGTGGTTAAACCCGGGAGTCCCTGTTGAGGAAAATCATCAACTCTGTGCCAGTCCATCTGAGAAGGTGCTGATACCAAGGGGAGGTTAGTGTAAGAGTGTGTGCTTCAGAGTCTATCACAGGAAGTCTCAAGGACTGTAGCAGCAGAGCCATCACTTGCTATTAAAATATTTTCCTTGATGTGGATGCTCAGAAATACCATGCTTTGAAGGTTGAATGCTAATGGCTTCCAGATAATTAGATAGCACCTCTAAAGCCCTGGCACTGGAATTAGGCAAAGCTGGGAACCCACCTGTGAATAAATCTGATATTTTTATAGTGATTATTATTGAAACAATGGTGTCCCCTGGCCCTGGCTGGTTAAAATATTATTAGGTTTCATCGTTGATGTAGGAATGTGATAGTTAGAAAGGCAGAATAGTAATAGTTTTAGTTCATTTGATGTGAGAAAAGTAGTGTGCTCATACGTGTTTACCATATTTCATTGATTTCAGAAGATACCATAATTTATGTACAACAACAACAACAACAAAAAACACCTGTGGGGACTTAAATTATGACAAATATCTTTGTCATTAACCTTAAAAAATTATTTCAAATATGTCAGGGATGTTAAAATATGTAAAAAGAAATTGCATCTTAGAATCAATGAAATATAGTATTTCTCTAATAAGGATTTTTGAGATGATAAATGAGTTGGAAAACCTAAATTGCATTATAAAAAGTATTTTGTCACTGCCTTTATTGTTCACTCAAGAAAAATAAATAATAAGCCTTAAAATAACTGACACACATTTGCATGAAAAATTCTCAAATACTATTTTAAGAACTTTGATATCCTATGTGATAAGTTGACGAAATATGTCAATGCTCTAGAACTCTGCTTAGCTCTTTATCACTTATTTCATAGAATGTGTGCTATGGGGAAGCAGTTCTTTTTAACAAATATTTACAAGATCTGGAACTACTTTGCAAGTTACAGTGACTGAGAATAAGAGTAGACATAGTTAAAAAGCTAAAAAAAAGAATTTTACTAAGAATCTTCAGGAAGTTGGTATCATTCCTTTTTTGGTTTTTTGCCAGTGGTTGAAACAAGGGGACAAACATGACAAATCACACACTAAGCCACCTACATGTCCGAAGTCCTAGGCAGTGTCTCTCAAGCCCTTATATGATATAGGACTGTTCACACCCACTCAATTAAATCTCTCATCTCGTCCCTATTTCTCTCCCCTTTGCACACTCTACCCTCACTGCTTTTCTAACATGCCACATACATGTTTTCCTAAGCTGGCTCGTCAGTTTGCTTAGTATCTCCTCTCTCAGTATCTACTGAGAGAGGCCCATTTTCTCACTTCAGCTATGGTAAAATGCTTCCTGTTGGGGCCACCCCATTTACCCTGCAACTCTTTCAGCCCATTCACAATCCCTTTTATTCTGTTCTTTTTTAATCTCCAGAGCACTCAGTGCCTTAAAACAACATATACATTTTTAATTTAATATTTGTCTTCTCTCTGGACTATAAGATCCATAGGCATTTGTTTCTCTTATTCATCATTGCCTAGAGTAGTAGTAGGTGCTTGGTTACCCTTTGTTGAATTAATAAATAAATGAATAACATTACTCCCCCAAGAATCAAAGGTGTGAGGTTGGAAAGAGGAGAATGAATACATTTCTATGATCATGGCATACATGTGTGCTAGGGATGTCCAAATGCTATTTGTATACAGTATCCTCGACATAAGTAACTCCAAAAAAGACTCTATCTTAGATTTCATAGGGTGCTTTTCCAACAGGGACAAAATATTTTGTTAAATAAACAAGACTGCATCCAACCAGATAAGGACATAAACAAGTATACTCTTCCACTATCAGTCCTCTCAAGAGGACTCCGTGGCCATAAATAGAGTAGGACTTCAGCAGTTCAAAATGGCTATCTTACCTGACACCGTCTTGCTATCACTCATGATAAGCACCCAGCATCTGCTGCCAACAATTCTCCCAACATCGAAGACTCTTCCTTGCAAGATTGATGGACAGCCCAGATAAGACCAGAGGAATCTTTGTTTTTGTCACTCTTCCTGGACTCGTTCCTTAACCCTTTTTGCTATCCCTTTTCTCTTAATGTTAAATGTTACTTTGTTGTGGAATGTTTAACCTATAACCCTTATATATCGATTAAGTACACTATTATGTATGGTTTGCAACACTGACTGATTTGTGGAGTGGCTTCAGTCTGTGTACCCATGGCTCTGAAAACAAAGTGAATGAGAAGTACTAAGGAGAATTGCCTCCTTGGGAACTCCATGTAGCTCATGGCTTTTGGGACTGAACAGTATTAAAGCCTGACATTGTGAAAAGACATAAATGTGTGTAGACCTGGTTATCTCTGACCTTGCACCACTCATGTGAGTATTTAAGCTACCTTCTTCTTCCTGATCTCCAGCCTAAGACAGAAATAATTTATTTCAAAGTTTGAAGAGTCTCCTTGCCAAAATAATAAATTTGTAACAGCCTTATATAATTAAACAAAAAAAATTAAAAGGCTGATATATAAATTAGGTCTATTAACTCATTCATTAGACTAACATGAATACATAATTTTTACAATACTATTTCATGGCTACCATATTTTGACATGCTGATCTTTTATTTCAAAAATCTATTCTGCATTTGAATTTCAAAGACGATACTGCACATGTACCACAGATTCAAAAAAATATGAATTGTCTGGCTTTATTTACACCATGTTGGATGATGGTGGGAACTCTAGCTAATGTAATGAGATCAAGTGTTAGGACTGGACTGTAACAAATAAGGTGCCGAAATAAGAAAGTAATATATGAGTGTTTTTACCCACCTGCATAATTCATCATTTTGGCAGCTGCGAATTACATTGAGGCAAGTAGGGGGTGGAACCATGTTCAGTGCACATGGCTTGCTGTGAAGAGCTTCTTTGGACTGCTGACAAGGTATATCAGATTGAGAACAGTCACAAAAAGCCAACATCTGGGCAATGTTAAAAGGTATATTTTGATAGAAGAACCGTATGGCTGCTTGGCAGTGTTTCACATCACACGGATTTCCATTTGCTGAGCAAGCTTTAAGGTAAGAGGCCAACTGTGCATTACAGACCACATCCCCTACACATGCCTCTGCCACTTCCAAACAGGACCACATCCCTTTGAATCCTGAAAGCAATGATATGCCCAGGTCGTGGAAAAGTAAACACAAAGCTGTACATACAGAATCTGTAAAACACTGTGAGAGGTCTATGAGCAAAATACAATGATGTACCAATGTCCTATTTTTGGCAAACATTACATCTTTTAGAGTAAGTATGAATTTACTGAGACCTAAAGAGTAGACTTATTGGAATCATCTTTCATCTATACAGGATACACATTGTTATCTAGAGTGATGGGAAGTGTGCAGGGCCAAAATCGAGCTGAAGGAAAAATCTCCCAGTCCAGGGTTTTCAAATGCAAACAATAAATCTTCAGAAATTGCATTTGAACTATATAGCTTATGGTTAGCTCATTGGCTCAAGGCAAAATGATTCTTCTTCTGCTTCACGTTTTTGTGAGGGGAATCTTGAATAAAGGTTCCACATAGTTATTCTAGCATACGTAAATGTTTATATTCCTACAGAAACACAATTACACACAAAAACAGTTGGTGCCAAATAACTTATATGATCACAAATATCCATGAAATGTAATCAATATCTACTATTTGGGTTTTTGTTTGTTTCATTTTTGAGACAGGGTCTTGCTGTATAGTGGCGTGATCCCAGCTCACTGCCACCTCCATCTCCTGGGCTCAAGTGATTCTCCTGCCTCAGCCTCCCAATGAGCTGGGATCACAGCCACATGCCCCCATGCCCAGCTAAGTTTTGATTTTTGTTTTTGTTTTGTTTTTGCAAAGACAGGGTTTTGCCATGTTGTCCAGGCCGGTCTCAAACTCCTGGGCTCAAACGATCCACCTACCTCAGTCTCCCAAAGTGCTGGGACTACAGGTGTGAGCCACTGCGCCCAACCTGGTATTTGGTTTTAATTATTAAATATTTCTCAGCACATGTGTACATTGATAACGGAGGGGCAAAGTAGTTGCTTCGATGGATCACTAGTAAAAGAAATGAAATGACTTGGTTGCATTTTATTATATTAGAACTGTTAAACAACGTAATTTATTTTGTATTGGCCTATCTTTAGGAAGCCTGGTAACTACCTTTTAAATTATATTATCAGGTATTTGCAATGCAGATCAAAATCGTAACTTATCAACATTACCATGATGGGAATGTGTAGTTAGATTCCATTTGAATTTATCCTCTTTCATGTTATCTAGAAGGAAAACAAAGAAACTATTTTATTATTGAACAATTTTCTGAATTTCCTAGGAATATGTGAGCCACATTTATAAATGAGTAAAGTACACATATATTCAAGCAAAAGTACATACAACGTTATGTAACATGTATTTAGCCTTTGATATTCAAAATTAGTGTGGTATAGATGAAGAAAATAAGCCTCTGAAATATCATTCAAGTGAGCTAAACAGCCCTGCTTTGAGGATTCAGTTACTTGAAGACTTAAATAAATGCTAGTGACTAGACTGCATGCATGGAGTAAACAAACACTGGGCGCTGACTGGGGGGAGGAAAAAAAGAAAAAACAGAAGGAATATTTTCTGAACACCACCTCCCACCACAGTCCAGTATAGAAACCCTTCTCAGTAGAGTCTTCATTAATTTGAAATGCAATTTTAAACCCCGTTTCACCTCTGATTATCTTATCCTCCAAGAGTTCTTAGAAATTATAATTATAGTATTGAAAAATCTCATTAATGAAAATGAATGTTCAGCTGATTCCAAAATCTTTAAAGGAACATTGGTTGGTTCCCTACTATGTACCAGGTGACAAACTGAGGATGTAAATCTGCAGTCCCTGTCATCGAGCATCCCATAGCCTAGAAGGAAATACAGACATACAAAACAAAGCCAAAAGAAACTAAAAGGAGGACTAATGTATCCATAACGTGGCAGGGGAATCAGATGATAGGATTTTCATTTTGAAATGAAAATTATTATTTTTTCATTGGATATTAAGATACTAACTTTTGTTATGGCATTAATGCCCCTTCATGATTCAGTATGTCCTAATCTGAGCTGTTTGTTCATATTTCCTGCCTTCTAGTCTAGTGCATATATAAGATGGTACTATCGCAGGAAGCTTACTTCTACCCTCAGGTGTGTCACGGCCTTCCAGACTCCTTATATTGTCCAAGCTATTCTCACTGTGCATGGTTTTCGTTTTCTTAATTGATCAAGTCTCAGCTTGAGAACCACTCTTCTTCTTGATCCCACCCATCATCCCACCTCTCTGAGGAAGATCTGGAGGTTCCAACTTCTGTGCTACTATTCCATATCTAATAAAATCCCAATAAACAGATCCCAGGGAGTCATATAGTTTTTGTAACAGGTACAAAAGTCTAGGCTAGACATTCTTTTATGGATTAACACCTCTGCATTGGGACTGATTGGTAAGGCTGTGCTACTGACAAAAATATATTCAAGAAACTGCTGTGTAGACATAAACAACAGCAGCTTCACTAACTGTTATTAACTGAATGTTTTTCCCATTACCTCTAAATTTATATTTTGGAGCAGTAATCTCCCTGTGCAGTTGTGAAGTGATGGTGTCTTTAGGTTAAATGAGGTCATAAGAGTGCGGCCCTTATCAAATAGGATTAGTGTCCATATCAGAAGACTTCAGGGAGGTAGCTGTCTATCTCCCCTGGAGCACTCACTGAGGAAAGGTCCTGAGAACACAGGGAGAGGGTGGCTGGCTATCTACAAGCTAGTAAAAGAGGACTCCTAGCCAGGAACAGATCCTAGGGACTTTTATCTGAGATTTTTCATACTCCAGAACTGGGGAAAAATACAATTTTTGCTTTTTAAGCCACCCAGCCTGTACTATTTTGTTACGGCAGCCAGAGCAGTCTAATTTACTTACCAGATGAGTACTTGTTATCAACACAACAAAACAGTTATTTTTAGTGTCTGAAAATAAAGTGCTTCTTAGAAGGTATTATAATACTTATACATTAAATGCTAATTTTAAATGAAATTAACATTTATACATTAAATATAAAGCTAGCATTTACACACACACACACACACACACACACACACACACATTTTTTCCCAGAGGGTATTTTAAACAGTGGCTTTTACTGAAAGAGGAGTTGAAGGTCAATATGTTTTAGAAACAAATAAAAGTATTCACTAACAAGACCTACATGTGAGTTATAAAATCCTATACAATTCATCAGAAAATACCCAACAATCCCTAAAATATGGTAATATCTAATATTAGAATCAGAAGTACTTCCATGTATCTTCTTTTTCTTAACATGATAGTATCAGAAACTAAACTCTTGTAAATATTTTGATTTATATTTTATAATCTGATAAACATGCTTACAATAAACTAGTAGACAAACATGTTTCTATAAAATGACTAGTTGAATTAAATGCAACCGATATTTCTTTTTTAGGGAGTATGTGGCAACATTTAAAGCAAAAGCAAAAGCAAAAGAAGATCCTCAGAGGAGACTGAGAAGAATCATCCATGGAAGCAAGAAGAAAAACAGAAGAATGAAAATATCTGGGAGCCTAGCTTTTCTCTAGCTTCATTTCCCTGTAGCTCTTGCTAATGAATGCTGCCCATTTCCCATACAGAACATACCACGATATCATTAGAATGTGTTTATATCTACTTTGCTAGCTTTATAGCTTCCAAAATATTAATTACTCATCCTTATAAAACATTTATACTTCTTTGAATTTTATGCTATCTGGTTGTGCCTCCCTCTTTTCTCTTGTCAAATATTAACCTCAAAGTCTTGCCCTGATATTCAGCATTGACTCAGGTACTGTCTCAATACTCTCCTCTACCTCAGATCTTGTCATTGTGCTAAGTTACCTCTATGCCTTTTGGAAAAAGAACCATCTTCCACCCTTAATTCACAATTCCTTAACCATTGCCCTTATGACCTTCACCGACACTCCAACTACGCCACACCAATGATCAACTTCTAGACCTGACATTGACATGAAGTTCTCTCTCTTTCAATTGTGAATATTAATTATCTTACTGGCTTCCAAAGCTTCACATTCTTGATTACTTCAAGTGCATATATACCTCCGGAACTTTCATCTTTTTATTCACTCCCAATCTTAGCATCATCTCCTGGATTCACAGACTCTTTCCAGCCTAGATCACTCACCCTAATAAAGGAACAGTTTCTTGTTACTGTCATTCCGTCCTTACTTCTTTTACTTTCTAGTGATTCTCTATAAAACTCCAACCCTATAAAATTTTGCCGTGTGGCTTTTCTGCTCATTTATACTGTTTTTTTTTTTTCTCACAGAAAAGTCACACTACCATTCTAACTAGTATCACAACAAATTAAAAAAATAATTACCAGCAATTTTTCTTCTAATGTGTACAATTTCAGATGTCACCAGACATTATGCATTTACATCAAGCTGCATATCCTACCATTTCCTTCATCATTCTCATAAGATGACCTTGACTCTCATGTTAGCAGAGGCTTCAACTGGGAATCCCTTTATGCTGGAGGACAATGCTGGGAAAATGGCATGTGGGATCCATGAGATCAGGGACTATATCTTATTATCTTACATTTCTACTCAATATTGTTCAATAAACATATTTGAATAAATATTGAATATTATTCACCATTCAACCCTGCATAATCAATTGTATCGCCCTTTCTAAATCATTCCCATTCTCATACAGAACTTTTTTTTCCATCTTCTGGGGAAAAAAGCCCTCTTTTTACCTCACTTATTTATCCAAGCACTGCCCTATTTCCTGTCTTCCTTACAACAATCTTTCAAAGTGCAGTCCGTATTTTCTGGCTCCAATTTCTCTCTTCCTATCCCCTTATGTACTCTCCAAACTCCACCTCTAATCCTGCCATTGTGCTTACCATGCCACAGATACTGTTCTTATCCAGTTCATAACCTCCACATTGGCAAATGCAATAGCTGATTTCTGATTCTGAAGTCTCTACCAAATCATTTGATCTTCTTAAACTTTCACCCTTCCTTGAAACTCTTTCTTCGTTTTTCTTTTGGATGCAATACTTTCCTAATTTGCTCTTTCTGGCAGCTCCTTATCGTTTTTCATTGCTGATTCCTTCCTCTTCTCTCACACTAGTAAATGTTGAAGTATCTCATAGACTAGTCCATGGACCTCATTCATTTCCTCTTTTATTGACCCACTGGTAACAATATATATCCAGAATCTGTTATCATCTCACCCTGCTACCACTCTGGTCCAAGACACCATTAATTTCATTGTTAATCTCAACATAAAACAAGGTCCTGATTGAATTCATCTTAGTCGTCAAGGAAGGCTGGAACCTCATTCATTTGAGCATCCTGTATACAAATTTCTTCAAACATTCCCAAATGCAGTCTACTTTAGAGGAATCACTGCATTAACAATTCCACAAAGCAACTTCTTTCAGGCTTTTTCTTAATACTGCACACATTTGGCCTTCATCAAGGGTCTTTGATTGTTCTGTTTCTCTCTCACAGATTTTCCTAATATTCTCTTAAAAGAAAGTAAAATGTTCAGATTCCTGACAGACATGTGCTGCTATTGCAGTCACTCTTTACTTCAGCTATTAATGGTGTATCTTTCTTATGGAACTGTTGTGTGATATTTGTGAAGTCAAATCTGAGGACAGGGCTGATTCTCCTACAAATAGAGTAAGGTTGACTAAAAATTAAATAAATGAATTTACTTATGATTTTTTAATATGTTTTCAAAAGTGTACAGACATATTTTTATAAATATTCCAATATCTGTTATTTTTCAAAAACCATTTAAAGTTATTTCAAGAGAGCTATTACAAATGATCTTGCATTTTTAAAAACTGACATGTTAAAAAAACACTACAGTTTATAGAACCACATGTTAATGTTCAATTTCTTTTAGTGATATTTTTCTTCATCACTTTTGCTTTTTCATTTCATTTGATGATGTTTTTTATATATTCTCCAGGGTTTACACATAAATATTTCATGAAAGGACACATGATTTAGATGCTCAAAATATGTTTAATTAATGAAAAACACTGACATTGTATATTTACTAATCATTTGCTAAGTGTCAGGCATTATGCTAGGTGCTTTAGCATATTTTTAAAAAGAAATAACAAAACTGATTTTCTTGAGAATAGAAAAGTGCATGTCTGTGTGCTCTGGAGAATATTTTGGGAATGCAAAGCAGGGAGAGAAAATCAT